CCTGCCCGCGTTCCATTCGCGCACCCGCCGCGGTTGAGCCGCGCCTGAGCATCGCCTGAACCGCGCCTGAACCACGCCTGCGCCATGGCTGAACCACAGCTGGGACGGATGCTAGAGTTCTTGCTTGCGCGGCGTTTGCCTCAGCCGCGCCCGCGCCAGAGCTGAACCGCGCCGGCGCCGCGCCTGAACCACGCCTGAACCACTCCTGAGCCACGCTTGACCGTCTGCTGACCCACAATTTGAACGGGAGCCAGAGTTCATATTAGCAGCTCGTTTGCTTGAGTCGCGCCCGCGCCACGGCTGCACCTCGCCTGAGCAGAACCTCAAGCAAAGCCTGAACCACGATTGAACCACGCCTGCACCATGTTTGAACCACGCTCGCATTGGATACCAGGGTTCCTGCTGGCAGTTCGTCTGCACGAGTCGCGCCCGCGCCGCGGCTGAAACAAAAAACGCCTGGACTACATCTGAACCGCGCCTGAACCACCCTTGAGACACGCCTGAACCATGGTGGAACCACGCCTGACAGGGATGAAAGAGTTCTTACTTGCAGCTCGTTTGCTTGAGTCTCGCCGGCGTCGCGGCTGAGCTGCGCCCCAGTCGCAATTCAACCGCGCCTGATCCACAGATGAACCACGCGTGAAGCGCGTTCCAGAGTTCTTGCGTGCAGCTTGTTTGCTTGGTTCGTGCTCGCGACACGGCTGAATCGCCCCTGAACCTCGCGCGAACCACGCCTGAACCACACCTGAACCACACTTGGTGAACTGCGCCTGATTGATGCCCGAGCCAGGCCTGCGCCATGTCCGAGACCACCTGAAACGGATGCTAGGCTTCTTGAATGCACCTCGTTCGTTTGAGTGGCGCTCGTGCCGCGGCTGAACTGCGCCCGAACCACGCCTGAACCACACTTGAACCACTTCCGATCCATGGCTGAACAGCATCTGAACGGGATGCCCGAGTCCATGTGGAGTCATCGCGTCGCGCCCGCGCCTCGGCTGAACGCGCGCCTGAACCGCGCGTGAACCGCCCCTAAACCACACCTCAACCACGCCCGAGTGGGGATTGCGGGGCACGCTGCCCCTTTGCGCGCGGCGTCCGCCCCCCGCCGCGATGGGCGCGGCGTCGCCTCCGGAGGCGGCGCGGGGGGGCGACGCAGGGACGTGCAGCCATGTGCCACACAGAGAAACTCGATTGAAAATCGCCCGGCATGGCGCCCGCCCGCTCCCCTCGAAACCGGATGGCGCCACCTGGCTTGCGGCCGCTTGTAATTTGGGCGTCGCGCCAGCGCGCGCGCCATTGGATGCGCGCGCTGCTTTTTGAGTGCGTCGTGGTGGCGGAGTGCTTGCCTGAGTGCGGGGTGATATGTTTCCATGGATCTGCGCGCGGGAGTTTTCGCGATGGCAGCAAGCGCGCGGTGCAATTCTGCACGGCTGTTCTTGTTCCGACGGCCCCATCGGATGATTTTTCCACCGGTGGGCCGGCCCGCTCGCCGACTCGGCTGCGGGGCGCGGAGCCGCGTGGGCGCCCAAGCTGGAAAGAGAGGCCAGCCGGAACCACGCCATAACCAATCTTCAAGTGCCCCTGAACCACGCTCGGATACTCTTCTGGCGGATGCCAGAGTTCCTCCTTCCAGTTTGTTTGTTAGAGGCGCGCCCTCGCCGGGGCTGATCCTCGACTGGGCCGCGCGTGAACCTTGCCTGAACCACGCCGGATCCACGCCTGCGCCATGACTGCACCAAGCCTGAAACGGACGTTAGAGTGTTGCTTGCGTTGCGTTTGCCTCAGCCGCGCCCGCGCCAGAGCTGAACTACGCCAGCGCCGCGCCTGAACCACGCCTGAACCACTCCTGAACCGCGCTTGACCGTCTGCTGAACCAAATTTCAACCGGATGCCAGAGTTCAGATTTTCAGTTCGTTTGCTTGAGTCGCGCCCGCGCCACGGCTGCGCCTCGCCTGAGCAAAGCCTGAACCACGCTTGAACGACGCCTGCACCTTGGTTGAACCACGCTCGAGTTCGATACCAGGTCTGCTCCTTGCAGCTCGTCTTCGTGAGTCGCGTCTGCGCCGCTGCTGAAAAGCGCTAGAATTACATTTGAAACGCGCCCGAACCGCACCTGAGCCACGCCTGAAGCATTGCTCAATCATGCCTGAAAGGAACGAACGAGACTTACTTGGGTCGCGCCCTTGCCGCGGAAGAACCGCGCCTGACCCACGCATGAATCACGCCCGAACCACGCGTGAGCCACGCTTGAAACATGCTTGACACGGATGCCAGAGCGTTCATATTTGCATGCGTGTTGCTTGTTTCAGTCGCGTCCTGACCCAGAATGAAACTCGCCTGAACCACGCCTGGACCACGCATGCTCTACGCCTGAACATGGCTGAACCACACCTGAGACGGATGCCCGAGTTCTTACCTGCTGTACGTTTGGTCGAACCCCACTGCGCCACAGCTGAGCCGCGGCTGAAACACACCTCAACCACGCCTGAACCGGTCTGAAACATTCCCGAACCACCCTGAACCACTGCACCACGCCTGAAAGGGATGACCAGGTTCTTATGTGCTTTTCGGTTACTTGGGTCGCACCCGCGCCACGGCTGAGCCACACTTGATGCGCGCCTGAACAGAGCTTGAACCAGGCTTGGACCAAAGCTGGACCACACCTGACACAATTGCCAGAACTCTGCCTTGCATTTCATTTAAATTATTCGCGCCCGAGCCACGGCTGAGCTGCGCCTGCGAGCCACACTTGAAACGCATCTGAGCGAGGGCTGGACCATGGCCGAGCCACGTCTGCCACGGACGCCAGAGTTCCTCCTTGCAGCTTGTTTGTCTGAGTCTCGCCCGCGCCACGGCCAAACCGCATTTGAATTGCACCTGAACCACATCTGAACCACGCCTGAACCATGGCTGTACCACACGTGAAACGGATGCTAAGGTTTCTGATTGCATTACGTTTGCTTGGGTCGCGCCCGCGCTACGCCTGAACCGCGCGTGACTCACAGTTGAACCGCGCCTGAATCTCACCTGAGTCACGCCTGGGCAATGGCAGAACCACGCCGGAAACGGCTGCCAGAAATCCGCCTTGAAATTCTTCTGATTGGGTCATTGCCGGATCACGGCTGAGCCGCGCATGAATCACACCGAAACCACGCCTGGACCGTGCTTGAGCCATGGCTGAACGACACCTGGCAGGGATGCCCGGGTTCTGACTTGCAGCTCGGTTGCGTCAGTCGCGCCCGCGCCACGGCTAAAAACCGCGTGACCTATGCGAACCACGCGTGAACCACGCCTGATCCATTGCTGAAACACTCCTCCAAGGGATGACAGAGCCCTCAGATGTTTACTTGCATCTCGGTTGCTTGAGTCCGCCCGCGTCACGGCTAAATTGCGCCCGAACCACATTTGAACCACGTTTGAACCAAACTTGAACCACACATGAACCACGGCGGAACCACACGTGAAACGGATGCCAGGGTTCTTATGTGCATTGCATTTGTTTGGGTCGCTCCTGCGCCAGGGCTGAACCGCGCCTGAGTCGCGGCTGAACCACGCTTGAGCCACGGCTGAACTACGCCTGACACGGACGCCAGAGTTCTTACCTGAATCTCGTTTGTTGGAGTCGCGCCCGCGCCACGGCTGTAGGCCAAACCACGGAAGGCAATGATGGGAGCCATTTCCGCCTCGCACCCCGCGGGGGGGGGGGGCGTGCCCCCCCGTGGCCCCCCCGAGAGGGGGGGCCGCATCCGCGCGAGCACGTCCCCAAATTTCACGCGTTCACCCACCCCTCCCAGGGGGATAAGAAGAATGGAGGCGGACGGTGAGAAGGAGGAGGAGAAGCAGCCGGAGGAGGAGCAGGAGGAGGAGGAGGAGGGGGAGGAGGAGGAGGAGGAGGAGGAATGGGGGCGAAAAGAGGACGAGGAGGAGGACGATGGCGCGAGGGGGGGAGATAGCGGTGCTCGTTCTCGTCGTCCGCCGTCGTCGTCGCTGTCGCCGTCATGGCCGGTGTCGTCGCAGTTTTGTTTCGGGCCCGTCTGGGTATCGCGGGGCGCCTTAGTCGCCGCAGCTGGGTCCGCCTCGGAAGATCGGCCTGGACGAGGGCCCGAGCATATCGTCGGCGGTCGGCGGTCAGCAGCGGTGCTCGTTGCTCGTCGTCGTCGTCGTCGTCGTCACATACAGTTACTTGTTGGGTTTTATTTGTAGTCGTCGTCGTGGTCGTTGTCGTCGTCGTCGTCGTCGTCGTCGTCGTCGTCGCGTCGACGTCGTCGTCGTCGTCGTCGTCGTCGTCGTCGTCGTCGTCGTCGTTGTCGCGTCGTCGTCGTCACGTCAGTGTCGTCGTCGTCGTTTCGCTATCACGTCAGGCTGTTTGTCGGGCTTTGTTGGTCCAGGATTCGCGTTGTAGGGGGAGCGTTTTTTGGGGGCCTTTTTAGAGGATACAGGAAGACGCGCCCCCCCTAAGACGTAGTCGCTGTCGTCGTCGTCGTCGTCGTCGTCGTCGTCGTCGTCGTCGTCGTGGTCGTCGTCGTCGTCGTCGTCGTCTTCGTCGTCAACGCGTGAGGGCTCTCCCTCACGCAGTCCTTTTGGACCGAGGGGATGGCCGCCCTCTGGGTTGGGTCATTCCCAGACGGCGCCGGGCGCACCGCGCGCGATGGCGCCGACGACGGCGTCAGGCGCCGCCGCGTGCTCCAGCCCGCGGAGTGGCTGCGTCGGCGACTCGGTCGGACGGGCCCATATATGATACAAGGGCTGAAGCAAAGGACAAGGAAGGATATATGATATATCCTTCCTTGTCCTTTGTTTCAGCCCTCCCGACCCATCTCCATCCCATTCCCTCTCGCCTCAGCCCTCCTACTTACTAGCCTTCCTCCCTCCTTCTTACCTCTGTCGTCGTCGTCGTCGTCGCATACAGTTATTTGTTGGGTTTTATCTGTCGTCGTCGTCGTGGTCGTCGTCGTCGTCGTCGCGTCGTCGTCGTCGGCCCCACGGCTTCCCCCCGCGAGGTCTCGACACCTCGCGCATGGCGCTGTACGCGGAGGGCGGGGGCACGAAGGCGCTGGCGTCCTCGGCGGACGCCTCCGCCATCAGCGTGCAGTGCCTCGCCCGCGTGGGGCCGGGCGTGGCGCGCAGCGGGTGGGCCGACCAGTGGGGCGACGAGCACAGGCGGGTCGCTGCAACGACCCTTCGTCGATCAGTGGCGGGCTAGGTTCGGGGATCACGCCGTCGCATCCCTCTCCGCCATCTTTGGGGGGGAGGGGTGCGGGGTGGTGATCCCCGAGCCGAAGCCAGTCCGCTATCGATCGACGAAGCTTCGCCTGCGCGGCCAACAGGTTGATGCTGGACCTCTTCGGGAACCCGCCGGACGCCTACGCGTTCAAGGTGGAGGAGGTCGCTCCATCAAACGTTGGCCTTGGGGGGAGTTCGGGGATGATGGTTTTTGAGTTAGAGGTGGTAGGAAGTTAATTAAAGTATTGATGACGGGACGAATTGGAGGATGAGGTACTAGGTGGAGTCTGAGACGGAGGGGTGATTTGGAGTTCGAGGGGTGAGGCGGGGAGGAGCGAATAGACGACAGGGGAGGTCAGGGCCGGGGTGGGGGAGTAAGCAGCGCAAAAGGCCCCCCCGCCCAGGTCGCCACCACCGTCGCCCCTGAGCCCTCCATCTTCGGCTTCACGCCGGCGCAGCGCGGTCGCCGTCGTCAGGGCGGCCACTCCGACCACGTGACGGCGCGGCTGACGAGCCCGTTGTGGGAGTTGTACTTCAACAGGTGGGAGGGCACCGCGTCCGATCTCATGTTGAGCAAGGAGCCCAGGACTTCGTGGTCATGGCACAGTGACGCTGCCAACCGCGATCGTTGTTGCAATCACGTGCAGATGATGTCCGAGTCGGAGTCGGAGTTCGACATTGACACCAATGGATCCGTGCCGCCACCTGGCGTCATGTCCGCAGCGCAGGTGCTCCAGGGGTGGGGCGTCGAGCAGGCTCCTGAAGACTTGCCTGTCCTTCTGGTGCCGGAGCCGGTGGCTTGCTTGCTCTCGCGCGGGCAGTGGTCATCTCTTTTGATCAGGGCATCTTGGCACAACCGTTTGATCACCGAGGGCGGCGTCATGTTGAAGGGCGCGCCGCTGCACGCTAGCCTCGGCTGGCCTCCGCCGGATGCTGCCGTCTGGAGGGCAGCTGCCGGGGCTGCGATGGAGCCCGAGGACGAGGTGCGCGCGCCGATTTCAGCTGGGGACTGCAGCGGGGAAACTTCGCTCCCACCGCCACTTCCTCTTCATGATTCATCGCCCTCCTCTCCCTCCTACCCCCTTTTCCCTCCTCCCCTCCTCCTCCTCTCCTGACTCCCTCCTCGGTGTCTCTGTCCGCTCGCAGCCCCCCCTTCCGCTGTTTTGCAAAATGATTCGTCGGCCCCCCCAGGAATTGCGGAAGATCGGCTCTCTGATGCGGCAGTTCGCCCAGGGCGCCAGTGAGGAGCAACGACCCTTGTTGAAGGATGCAGTGCTTGCAGTTGACGGTTGGGCACAGCAGATGGAGGAGGCCGCCGGCGACAGTGGCAGCTCTCGTGGATATGGCAAGTACCGCCACTCGACCGAGAAGCTCATGTTGGCCATTCGGACGTCGTCTTTGTTGAGAGGAGGTGCGTCTGGACTTCGCGTCGCTGTCCAGCGCGCGATAGCATTGGCAGCTCCAGAGTGCGTGGCCAGCGTCATTTGCAGGGGGATCGAGGCGAATGGCGACCGCAGGCATTTCCAGAAGTCCACGCTGCCAAGCGTGTCCACGATTATGCGTGGAGAGCTGTCCCTAGACATTGCGATATCCTTGCTTCGCCGCGCTACCTACGACTCATCCGCGGTGAGGTTCATGTGGAGCGACTCCTCTCCGCTCTGCGGTTTCGACTGGCTGTGGGCGCAGGTCCACGAGATCAAGAGGAGCGAGGTCGTTCGCATCTGCAGGGCATCCCGCGAGTTGATCCGCGCCACCACGGAGTTCGCGCGGGCGCGCTTGGAGCGGGGCGACTCGGATCCCGTGCCGCTGTGCCCAGCTTCGGCGTGGCAGCCCCATCTCGACGCTCTGCTTGGCATTGAGGAGCACATCTATCCGCCGACGTCGCTGGCCATGGGGGTGACATCGCTGGCAAACAAGGCCAGCGCCCTCTGCCACCAGTGGGGCGTTGAGCTGCCGGAGGGGGCCACGCTGTCGGAGTTCTCGAAGTCTTTCGTCTCTCATACGTCGGACATGGGGACAGAGATGAGTCTGCCAGACTTCTACGTGCGCAGCCTCGACGACTTGGCGGCGCCGTGGATGGATCGGAGCTCGCTGAGAGCAGACTTGGACGACATGGTGGTGGACGGTGATGGGGCGCCTGCAGCTGGCCCCCCCGCCGCCGATCTTCCTGCAGCTGCCCCGCCGCCGGTCGCCCCGCCCGCTAGCGACCTGGGCGACTTCGGCCTTGGATCCGATGGTCTTCTTGAGGGTGACCCCCCAGCAGCCGAGCCTGCGGCC